AGCATTACATGTAACTATGTAATGTCACATTACATGTAACTATGTAATGTCACATTACATGTTACTATGTAATGTCACATTAAATGTAACTATGTAATGTCACATTACATGTAACTATGTAATGTCACATTAAATGTAACTATGTAATGTCACATTACATGACCAACTGTCCCAACACTAGGAGTGGTAGTGACACATCACCACACTCACTAGGAGTGGTAGTGACACATCACCACACTCACTAGGAGTGGTAGTGACACATCACCACACTGACTAGGAGTGGTAGTGACACATCACCACACTCACTAGGAGTGGTAGTGACACATCACCACACTCACTAGGAGTGGTAGTGACACATCACCACACTCACTAGGAGTGGTAGTGACACATCACCACACTCACTAGGAGTGGTAGTGACACATCACCACACTCACTAGGAGTGGTAGTGACACTACCACTCCCACACCCCCACCATCAGCTGCATTCCAGTCCTGCAGCGCGCTGTAGAATGCAGTGGTCTGCTCCTCTGTCAGGTTCATGTCTCCCAATCCGTCCAAGTTATCACTGGAGAGAGCCTGGTTGATAGCATCTATCTGGTCCTGTGTAAAGGAACCTGCTTTCTTGAGAAGTTCGTCAAAGCGCTCTTTTTGTTCCCCAGCGAAGTCGTCAAAGTCGAAGGAATCTTCGAAGTCTTTGAAGGCGTCTTCCATATCACCTCCAAGGTCACCGAACGTATTACCTATATCTCCGCCAAGGTCACTGAACGTATCACCTATATCTCCGCCAAGGTCACTGAACTGATCACCGATGTCATCAAAAGCACCACCAATATCTCCCCCCATTTTATCCATGACATCATCAACATCACCTCCAAAGTCTCCGAAACTGCTGCTCATATCACCGAAGTCACCCATGTCGAAGTCACCTTGTCCCTGTGCTAGCTGTACGGTAGCCGCGAGCAGCACAAGTATTAACATTGTTGACATGGTGTTTGCCTGGGTGTTTTATGTTATATAGAGTGCTGTATAATATACAATGTATAATGCATAATCTAAAATGTACACTGTACAATGTACACTGTACAATGTACACTGTACAATGTACAGAGTTTCGAGATCATGAGGAGGAGATATTATTGTCGGAAATGGAGTTCGTTTTATTTGTAGCTACAGCAATCTACTCATCTAGCCTAAGTGACAAACAACTTGCATTTATTCGACCGGACAATTTACTCAACATATAGATAAAAACAGGTTAAACATGTTAGAGGCTGGTTTTAAACCTAATAGCTAACTCCAGTTGGATCGTTAAGTAACTAGAGGATAACCAAATGTTGCACATGAACACAACGACTCTTCAACAACTGACTAACAACACTAGTATTGTCAGTATATCAGTGATCTCAAACTTAGGGGAACATTATCAATAGAAAGTATCAGGTCATGAGTCATGACGCAATTGCTCACGTGATTAATTGTGTCGTGACGTAAAGTGGTGATTCAGTTCCTCCTTTACCTTTATAAAAGATTCTGAGTTCTGGTTCAGTAATTCATTACCACAGTACCAGACATTATATCATAGTATCATATTACTTGGTGGTAGAAGTCACAGTCACATGATGTAAGATTTGTAGTACAAGTGCAGCTTTGTGAGTAGGCTCTGTTGTGAATGTATCTTACTTAACGTAGATTTAGAAATGTTAGAAATATCCTCTAAGTGTCCTTTCCAGAGGCTGGGTGTACAATTATATTGCAAAATTATGTTAGATTTTATTCACCAGCCGGCTGTTAGAGGAATGTTACCGTTATAGCCGCGCCAGTTGGCATTGTGCCTATTTGCCTTGCCATATGCCAGGCCATTGTGAATGCAAAGAACATAATCAATAAAACAAATGCAGCCAGTCTACAGTCCACACCCTGGCTCACCCTGGCTCACCCTGGCTCACCCTGGCTCACCCTGGCTCCAATATAATTCTAAATGAAAAGCTCGAATAAGCAATAATTGTACAATATTTGTACAGCAGGCGAAGCGTCTGTGAATTATCTGAGTTAAATGCTGGACAAAACAGTGTGAATAGTATTAGTTGGTGTGAATCATTGTCCAGACTTGTCCTGTACATGGGAAATAATGGTATGGTATGTAAATTGTAAGGGTAGAGTTGTACTGAAAAGAGGGAATCGTCCTGTAACAAGGACAAAAGAAAATCGCGATTATTTAGGCCAAAAATTGCGGCGCTGCGGCAAGCCAAACTTGGCGAAATTCGCGGCATATTCGCAGCACTGATTTCAGCTCATGGCTGCAGATTTCGTTTTGAGGTGAACTTTTAAGTTCCCGAGAAATCTTCTTAAGTTTGCATTTTCTCCTCGGGCACATTCGTAACCTACGGGCCAGGTAAACCTAAACTACATATTGACCGTTATGTACGTCGGTATCTGTTGAGGAGCCAAATCATCTGAAAAGCCCTAAACCTATATTTTGCTCAGGCACGTAGCCAGGATTTTTCTTTGGGGGGGGGGGGGGGGGGGTCTGTCGGCGAGCGAAGCTGCATACTGTGGCAGGGGTCTGGGGGCGCAGCCCCCAGCGGGGTCCAGGGGCAGACCCCATTGGCGGGGGCTTGGGGGGCGCAGCCCCCCGGAAAAAATTTGCGAAATAGGGTGTTTTAGGCTAAATTGAAAGTTTAATGAATTTACAAAAATGTATGGTTTGGCATTTAATCATTGCCTACAATCCTGACCTGAGTAATTTCCCCCTTTGAGACTTTATTTTGGGTTGAAAATTGAGTTTATCAAGAGGAAGTGAAAAATCTCTGGTTCAAATTTGGATTTGAAGCCATGTTTAATTTTTTCTGCTGAGGTCAATTTTTTGCGCAGAAAGTGCTCGATTTTAGGGGAAAAAATTTAAGTTTGCTTTTAATTTTTATGGTTCTGTCGGCACCTGAAATCGACGAAATCTGCAGGGGTGCTTCAGCTACCGCTGATTTCATAATTCATTGTATGTGGATGTCTAGTGGTCAAGTTTTATATGTCTAGTGGTAATGTTTATGTCTAATGGTAATGTTTATGTTAATATTATTGTATTGTGCGACTTAAATTAAAAGTATTATACACAGACTTCTACAGGCTAGAAAACTTGGAACAGTAAACAAAATATTGATTTGATTCGCAGAAATAAACTCGCTGTTCCATTTTGACACGGTACTCCGTACGAACCAGGTTATGCTACTCTATCGAAGATTTGGTTCATAATCCAGCATCATCATGATATAACACACATATCGCTTTTTAATGGTTTTAATCACTTTCCTAAAATAAAATGTAGACTAGGTAACCCTAATATAATATAATAACTGACCGTTAAGACGTTCACAAGCCTATCCCCTGACTGGTACCTGTATAATTGAATACTATGGTTTAAATTATTGTCTCATGTTCTCTTTACATAACTCAATCTGAAGATCTACAAACACAGTACACACCTACAATCTACATTAAGTCTTAATGCCTGAAAAAAAAAATGAACGAAATGACTGCCAGAGCGTCTATACATAGATCTATAGATCCGGCGAAAATGGTCATATTCTCAGATTCAAAACATTCTCAAAAATACTCATGATCCCCCTCATGAAAATTCCGAAATTAAGTAGAAAAACGCTATACAGTAAAGTGCAACAAAACAGTGACATTTTAAACTGCTGCGTGAATAGACAGTACTCTGTACTACTGACTATTCACGAAACTGACAGTAGAGTAGAGCAATGTATTCGGGATAATGACTAGAAATTACCCTGCTAAAATATCAAGCCTGCCCTTACAAGCTGTCACTTGAAGTCACGTGACCATTATTAAGATGTCTAGAGAGAGGTGTGGTTACAATTTGTATTCCAATATCCATGTACTGATATTAGCTTGTCCATATAAGGATTAATTTAACATTAATTTTACACAACAAACATGGGCATGCTGGACACTTTGATCACTTTCCCTGCCCCTTGATGCGTTGTCACTTGGGTTTTAAAGTTTCCTCCGGTCTGTCATCTGTAGATAGTAGAAAAAGAGAGGGCAAAAAGAAAGAAAAGATTAAGAAAAGTGACAGAGAAAGAAAAGAGAAAAATAATAATAAGAATAAGAAAATAGAATGCGAAGGAGATATTAGAACAATATCAACGCGACAGCAAGGAAGCCATTTTCGGCTCATGTGCAATGTGCAATGTATCTACTAACCACTAACTTTAGGTATTCAGTTACAAAGTGATAATATATAACTTAGCTCATTATTTTAGCATTTTTTTAAATTGCAGCACTCGACTCGATGTAAAGTAAAATTTGAGCTCCCAATTTTATGGTGTCTCCGGTGATTGAATCGGTTAAAAAATTAGGTAAAACACAATATTACGAAATGTTATAACAATTTCAATTTTTAAATCTTTCATATCTTTCATGAAAAAGGATCCATCAAATCTGGTGAAACAATCACAAGAAAATGATTTGAAATTGTTATATTATGCTGTATCTTAATGTTGTATTGATGGATCCTTGAAGTTGAGGCGTGTTTGTTTGTTATTTTGTACATAACATCATTATCATGTAACATAACTGGTATTCTATTATAACTTTTATGCATTAACTAGTTTTGACGTATCATTATTTAATTCTTTTACAATTCTTTAAAAAGAGATTTGTTTCGTGTGTTTCATAACTTATCTTCAAAACTTGAAAAATGTGCATAGCATACATAAAACAGCGCAAGTCTTTTAACGTTTTCTGGCCGATGGTAACTAACATAGTAATCGGTAAAGTAACTTTGGGTAACTAATAGTAACGATAATTAACCAATAGCAAATTTAAGTAATCAATAGTAACGACAAGTAACCAATATTAACGATAAGTAAGCAATATTAACCAATAGTAACCAACAGTAACCAACAGTAAGATAAGCACATACCTGTAGCTAATAGTGACCAATAGTAACCAATAGTAACCAACAGTAAGATAAGCACTAACCTGTAGCTAATAGTACTGGTCTTCTCATACTGGGATACTACCAGAGTGTAGGTACTAGAACCGGCTCCTGCGTTTATACGGGCTAAATAGTGGGGCGAGTTTATCTTCGTACCTGAGGTTTAGAGGTTTAGAAAGTTAGAAGTTTAGAAGTTTAGAGAACTTGTTGGTTTAGAGGTTTAGAGAACGTGTTGGTTTAGAGGTTTAGAGAACTTGTTAAACGTGGGTCGGGAACGTAGTAGTTCTACCGAAAAACTTGGATTAGGTGAATTTTTAAGAATTTGATGATTTTAGAGTTTCCTCTTTGTAAAGATTGGTATGTAATTAATAAAATACAAACCACTAAGTAAAGCGTCATCAGGATAGTAGACCCTGTCTCCGTTGGTTTTATAAACGTGCAGGGTGATGAATTCTTTGTTGTTCGCGAAATCGTCTTTCTCTGTTATATGCCTGGAAGAGGAATTTTAACTAATACAGAACTACTTTTGTGGAAGAAATACTGCCAAATCTACTCTCTCACGTGACGTCACACATTCTCAGTCTCTCTCACGTGACGTCACACGCCCCTAACGTTACGTCATCACCTCACCTGCTCAACAATATCCACATAGTGCAGGGTTTCTTAGCCTCCAACACGTCTAGTTTGTACTGAGGGTTGTACTCCAGATTGTAGTGGTCCTTCTTGGGGCCCTGACCTGCAGCCCAGTCTGCATGCAGATTGTATCTGTGGCAGGTTATACATTATACATTGTAAATTATACAGTGTACATTATACATTGTACATTATACATTGTACATTATACATTATACATTATTAGGTGATATAATGAGCAACAGTTTCAGGGACCTGCAGCAGTGCAGCCCAGTCTGCGTGCAGATTGTATCTGTGACAGGTTGTTATTTAATTTTAAATGTTCGTTACATAATACTGCCGTTTTCTGACTAAAGTGTTCATAGACACAAATGTTTTTATAGACACAAAAATCTGAGGTTTAAAAAATCAGCCATCTTCCTAGCATTCCTGTTCTGCGAGAAATACCATCTGAAAGTAGAACATGTAAACCTGAAAATAACCTGTAAAAGTGTAAATAACCTTACCTGTAAAAGTGTAAATAACCTAACCTGTAAAGGAACAGTTTGGGGTTCCAGTTGAGATACACCACATCGAAGAAGTGTAGACAGATCTCCCAGCTGATCCAGAATACCCCGTTATCGTACTCTATCGCGGACATAACGTCAAAATTCAGCGCTTTCTGCGGGAAATACACGTGTTAAATATGTTAAATTATGTTAAATTATGTTAAATTATGTTAAATTATGTTAAATTATGTTAAATTATGTTAAATTATGTTGAATTATGTTGAATTATGTTGAATTATGTTAAATTATGTTTAGTCATGTTTAATCGTGTTAAATAAGATGTATTTGTAATTTTTAGACCGATTTAAATACTAATTAAGCTAATAATACGAGAGCGTTATGTGAGTAATGATAGCCGAGAAATGATTAGAAAGAAATACATCATGTGCGTGGTGTGATTCTGGAATAATATATAGATTCTGGAATAATATATAGATCGCACCTATATAAGTTCGTACTATGCTACAATCCAAAGGGACAAATTGGTTATATCGTCGGTAGACAAGTTCAACGAATGAAATGAATGAATGAATTGAGTTGTAATCAGAGTTCCATGGATATTGTTATGCTGCACTGTCTTTAGTCTAGTCAGAGAGGATTGGAATTTGTGTCCCGCCCTAATGATAAGCTACACAAATCACCATCTGTAATGACCACACTGTTGTAGGGCCACCGTTTTTTTAGCTTTGTGTAGACTTGTAGAAGCAGTGTGTTGCTCATAACACTGTCATAACACTGTCATAACACTGTCATAACACTGTCACTGTCCCAGCTATAGACGGCACGTAACGCGGTAACGCGTCACGTAATCAATTATGTAACGCGTTACGTTCCGTCTAGCTAAGGTCTTAGACATTGTCAAGTTTGTAATCGAAATGTTTTAATTTCTATTTGTTAGTCTGAGAATGAAGCTTAACAAGTAATGATACGTGACGTCACATACTCTCCCACGTGACGTCACACCCCCTAAAGTGACGTCACACCCCCTAACGTGACGTCACACCCCTAACGTGACGTCACACCCCTAACGTGACGTCACACCCCTAACGTGACGTCACACACCCCTAACGTTACGTCACACACACTCTCTCACGTTACCCCTCACCTGCTCAACAATATCCACACAGTGCTCTTAGACCCCAGCTATACGGTATGTTACTTCTACAGTAACAGAACGTATAGCTACACTGTATAGTCACGCTCTATAGTCACACTCATTATTCTTACATCAACTGCCATATTTCATCTTAATCACGTTTAGCGGTTGTTTGAATGTGATAATTAGCAGTATTTTTCCATTCACACTTTTTTTTGTAAAAAAGTAATAGTGAAAGATTACGAACGGTCGTTTTTGCAGAAAAACGTGGATTTTGGAGAACGAGGTAGATGGGTCACGTGTTGGTCACGTGTTGGTCATGTGTTGGTCATGTCACGTGCTCCTACTTACCATTGAACAGAGCCGGTAATCACTGTTTGTTGTTTTGTTAAATGAAGATGATGTGGTCCGGTTGTTACTCTGACTACTAGGGAATGTAAGCCAAGCGAATATTTATTATTTATTGATTGCATAACTATTATATATCTATATAATATATATCTATGATTAGAATTAATGATCATTAATTACAGTTTCACTTGCAGTAGCTGTTGTGCGTATTCACTAACTCACGTTTTACAGTTCAGTTGCTTAGATTGCATTGAAATTTGAACTTCATTTCTTTCAAACGTAGAACGTTAGAACTTTTTAAATGATATGGAAACACCTTATTCTTGAATCTTGTGTTATTTCCTGTAGTACCTATATTATATTCAAGACCTCCTTCGTTGCGTATATGTTCCGAGGAATGAGATAAATTGATCGGGTGAACAGGTGAAAATCAAGAGGAAAAAAAACTTGTTTTTAATCTTATTTGTGACTGGATAGTAATATTCTGTGGAATTTGTGAAATCAACTGAAGGAATATCTGTATTCAGTAGACTAAAGAATGTTTCATGAGATCTTTGATCAGACAAGCGCTAAAATCGTGATCTAACAGGTATAATCGCGGTCCCATCGTTATTTATAACCACATAAGTGAAAAACATTTTTAATGCAGGTGACTGCTTGGTCAATTTGGTCATTGTTAATTCCTGCAAACAGCCGCGGAAGAGCACGGCTGAGTTAAATTAATTTTCCCAGTCCTGGATATACTGGAGACCAATCTCCCCTGATAATTAAATGACTACTCACACTGTCACCCAAATGAATAATATTAAAAATGCGATAATTAAACTAATTACAACACTACAAAATCTATTACATTTATTGAAAATTATGTAATGTAACGTGATGGAAATATCTTAAACGGGTCATATCCTGTCCAAACCCAGGATCTTAGTTGTAGTGAACGGTGGATTTTGACGTATCGAACGTACGTTCCAGTCATTTTGTAGTGAACGTTATTGAACGTTAGTGAACGGCAGTGATCATCAAAAACAAAAATTCATGAAAGTAAAATTTTTGAAATCTTAATTTTCTCAACTGATAATTAACTTTCCTAGACTGATACAAAATGAAGCAATCCTATTTCTGTGCACATATTTCTGACTTTGTCGCCATGAGCCCATGATCACACACAGTATTTATGCTACTGAACACTACTAGTAATTTGTCCATAACGTTCAGAACGTGAGATGAGTTTTAGTGAACGCATGTACAAACAATTTTTAGTGAACGTTCCGTAAGTGCACTACAACTAAGCCCAGGATACATAACATGAAGAATTCGTTGTAACTTTGTATGAAAATGATTAATAGATATCCTGCAAACAGGCAGATCATCTGCAGCTTTCAGGCTCTGCAGAAGTTTCTGGTAATCGGTTTAATGGATGGTCATTGATATTAATTGGTCATTGTTATTTGCTAAATCGGTATTTCTCGTAATCAGGGAGATCACGCATCGGGTGCAAAGAATTTAAAGAATTTAAAACATTGGATATTCCTTGTCATTCCAGTGATGATCTATGACTAAGTTTACATTACCTCTATATGAAATTTACTGCAATAGCAGTCTTTAAAAATTTATTTTGATTTGTTTGAAATGGGCTCAGTACAGGAATGCACTATTTTTGCACTGGTTACCATGACCAGTGACTGGTATGCAATCACAATCTGTTACCTACATGTGCATTGTGCACCATGGTAGTGAATAATTTTAGTGCTCCTTAGTAGTGAATATGTTGCCCCATCTCATAAGTGTAGCAGCAGTTTACATTACCTTGAGTTTAACATAAACAGTACACACGTGGTAAACACGTGGTAAACACGTGGTAAACACGTGGTAAACACGTGGTAAACACGTGGTAAACACGTGGTATACACGTGGTATACACGTGGTAAACACGTGGTATACACGTGGTAAACACGTGGTATACACGTGGTAAACACGTGGTATACACGTGGTATACAAGTGGTAAACACGTGGTATACACGTGGTAAACACGTGGTATACACGTGGTGTCTGGTGAATATTTATAATTGCTGGTGGAATGTGTAACACATTGAGTTCCTTACTTTGAGTGTCACAGCTTGTTTTATTGGAGGTAGCTCTTATCTTAGTAAACAGTGTAAGACACACGTTACACGATGAACGCTTTAAAGTCAAAACTAATGTAATGTTTATAGATTATCAGATTGCCTCCGCAAGCATTGCTGAATTGACCATGCACTGCAGTACTGGCACGTAAACCAAGTTTCTAAATAAACGGGACATTTTATTTGTTGAATTATTATACCCCTCCCCACGGACCTCAGCAATACTTGCGGAGGTTAACAATGTGATACACTCTGATATCCACACCACTAGAAGTTGATATCCAACTTTCTGCTTGATTTGTTTGTGGAACTTTCACAAGTGGTAACTTGACTGGAAGCTGGTCCCGGACAAGAACTGCACAATGTAGCTACAGTGCAGCTGTGGTACGATCTCGAGTTGCTATACGTTACCTCATTGTAGCACTACTCTGCGTTTTGCTTATCCTTTGTAAGTGTATACCGTTATAAGGAGGGTGTTTTCATTGTCCTGAGAACTTCACTACCGTTTATATTCGAGTGCAGACACCAGCTGAATATAACACTGCAGACATGGTTCAATTAAATCACCACATCGTTAGCCTACACAGTCTGGAGAATTGTTCTAGAATAAACACATATCCTCGTGCGGTTACTGAAAAGTTTTATTTTTTAAACATTCTTTAAATTTCGTTAGTCTTAGTAGACAGTGTTCCCACAGCCAGAGATTCCTTGCAGATCAATTTTACTCCCTGTATACTTATAGAGAGCACTCATTATGCAGTACACACAGACATAACACAGCTCATGCGTTTAACTGGTTACATTTCGTCTCAAATATTTATCGTTGGTTTTAAGTTTAGGGTAGAATCCACGCGTTTGCGTGCTGGCCATTCACGAAGCTGCACCAGAGTAGATATAATATAAGTAAACTACTCGTCACTTAATTGAATCAGTAACGGTCCCCGTTGTGCAGGTGCTGTGGGTACATTGAGTACGGTCAGTGCTAAATTTTGTACAGAACCCCAGGTTTATGGGGTAACCGATCATTTATTTTGTTTAAAGAATTGTGTGTTTTAAGAATTGTTCAGAGTTTGATTAGTGCGTTATCAAAGAAAAGATATCCACTGTCTAGCTCGAAAACTGAGAGTTAAATTATACACGGTTCAAATTTACTTGTGAGACATTAAAACGATGAAATAACTTTCATGAAATATTTTGATTCAGTAACAGAATATTGAACATCAATATCGGACTTAAAACTTGATAATTTACTACGTTATAATTTAGTTCAAGAATCACCCTCTTCCGTTCCGAGAACTTGGGTACAATTTAGTTCTCTGCTTACATACAAATTTTCATTAAAGGATTGTACAAGTTGTTTGAATATACTAAACCCCTTTGTTTTAGATTCAAGTAAAATTCCTGCTGCAAACGTTAGAAGGAAAAAATACCAGTAATTTACATCTTCTTCTAAATTGTAAACAGGTGTGGCAGGAGATTCGATGTCCAAAACGTTGATGATTGGAGAAACAAAAGTAAAGTGTTCAAATTTAGTATGTTG